TGGGATAATCAAATGAAAATGGCAAAGGAAGTTGTTCAGTTGTGGCGGTGAGAAGTCAATCCGAAATTTTGTTTCAGAATTTCTGTCAGTTTACAAGCACGTGTGACAAAGGTCTCGCAATCTTATGCAGTTTCCTTCCCCGTTCTTGAGTTCTCGGTAGCTGTGTGGCAGATTCATCCACGACTGCGTTTAGTTTTCTTTCTCTCGTATCAGGTTTTCCCAAGTTTTAAATGATGGAAAGTTGAATTGGAAAGAGTAGAGTGGTTTTTCATCCACGTTTGAACCTTTTTTCAAAGTCTGATCTGAGGGACGTTAACTTTATCACACCGTTACCTTGATAAGCTGCAGAATTGTCTGATTGTGTCCTTCACTGCTTGTCTTACCTCCTTCATCTTCCAGCAGTACAGAAATGGATTTAGGGTTGAGTTTAACAAAAGCAGCGAGACTGTTACAGTCCCAACGAGACCCAGGGCTGTCGAATGTAATCCAGTGATTAGAATAAAAGCTGTGAGAGTACCATATGGAAGGTAACAAGCCAGTAATGTCATCTGTATCCACAGTGCACTAGACACGGTTTTTCTGTATCTTGCTATATTCACTGGAATTCTTCCTCCACTCAGTTGTCCTTGGTGAACCTGACCTTGCACTTGAGTATGATGATGGCGAAGTGTAAGATAAATTTTCGTGTAGCAGACAATTGATGTTACTATACAAAATAACAGTGCTATGCAGATGATGACCAGCACTTAAAAGCCATGAGGTAACGGCAAAGACCCATATTCTCTTTAAAGTTACTACCTGTCTGTATCTTAGTCCCAACATCAGGGCGAGAAGTCTGTCCACACTTATTGCAGTCAGTGTTAACACGGAAACTGCACAAAACATTCCACCTATGCTCTCGTAAAGGAGGTTAATATAGTAACAACGTTTAGAGTGTTCTGGGGACATAAATAAGCTTCTGCGGAGAGGTCGTGTAACAAGGCCCACGCTGAGATCTGTGCTTGCAAGGCAACCTAACAAAAGTTTTGATGGCGGATGAAGGGACGACACCTTTGAAAGAGCAACAATGATCAGAACATTGCCTAAAAATGTCATGATGGAAAGTGGAATATTTATCGTTATAAGAAATATCTTTTGATGAATTCCAAGACCTGTTGTGCAAAGGTACTCCTGAGTGGTGGTTTGGTGTTCATCTTTCGTGAAGTTCGCCATTTTGTTTTGAGCTTGTTATGACAAAAGTCAAAGTTACTTTACTTTGTTCTCAGTTTTCTTTTAAATGTGCACGTACGGCCTGGTACGAGGTTTTAATACTCTTCTTTTGTATTTGTTCTCTTTCCTGGTGATTAGAGAGTAGGTTTTAGAGGAAAGAAATTCGCATTAATGAGGGTTGACAAATGGCTATACCATTTCAAATTTTCCTAAACACGTAAGCACTAGGATTTCTGAGCTAAGATGATTTCCTGAGCATCTAGCTTGGAACACCCGATGTTGATGATGTTCACAAACCTTCTCGTACTCGTACTCAAATCAATAGTCCCTTAATATCCGCTTTCATTGCCTTTCTAATTCTTGTTCTTGGCTTTAGTGGGACAATTGAAGAAGCCTATGTCCGATTTTTTTTGTTGTCACTTTTTCATACGTTGGTTAGAGCTGCATCCAGATTATTCAAGTAGTCAAAAAGCCCTTCGCTTTGGGCAATCGCCTAATAAAAGGCCTTTTGAATTTGTTTTTATAATAGTTTCCCCTCTTAGCATTTGTTTGCATAAATTGGAAGGTGACGTTACATTGTATAAAATGCATTAACCGTTCTTTGACGCGGCTTCCTTTTCCTCCATTTAGTTGCAATTAACAAAGTAAATGTGAAAACAAGAAATTACAGCTTTGACATCTTTTGAGCAGTTTTCACCTGAGTGTCCAAAAGTAATTGTTTTTGCGTTATTACGCTACACGATTGGCTCAAAAAAGTCGCGCCAATTTTTGATATAATCAGAAGCAAACCAAAACCAATCGGTAACTCGCTTGCACGCGTTTTCCCGCGCTTTGCGTCAGCTACAATTTACTACGATTTACTATATACCATGAGTTGACGGATTGTCTGTGTCCTTTGTGATTGGCCAAGAGTACTTGCTTTGGTTTTAGTTTTACGACACTCAATTGAAATCCGCTACAGCGATCGCTATTAATGACACCGTCATTATGGTTCAATCTCTCGCCCTCGATCTGAAAAAACGTTTTCTTCCTGTCGCTTGCATGTGGCAGCTGTTATCTCTGTAATATAAACAGATTATTGCTGAGATATATTGGGCTCGATTTGCTGTAGTTTTTGCCAGTGTAAGAAAAGTCTGAAATCAAAACAGTTTAAATATAACTAGGTCAGGAGCAATGAGCAAAGTTATCATTAGCAGGGCGTTGTTTGAATTTATAGTGCACGAATTTCGGAGAAGATACGAAAGGTGGCAACGTCTGTTCGGACCAAATGCTGGGAAGTTCATGTTTTAGGTATTTTTTTCTGCTCTTTTTTTCCCCTCTACATGAAATAGGGACGAGACTCTCTCCATTTCTCGTTAGTAAACCTCAGCTTTGTCCAAAAATGTTTATTTCTTCTTTGAAGGTGCATCATGAAATAGAGGGCTGAGACAAACACTACTGATCTTGAATTTAATTACTTAGCTTGCTGAGCGCTTTCAAGAAGTTACAGCATGATGTCTATGGTAGAACTCGCCGTGTTATATGGGAATTCTATTTTGCTTGCATGAGAATCGAGCGTTTTGCGTCAACCATTCCACGCATCTAGAAATGGAACTCTCCTTTGTATGAGTATCACGCACTACCTGTGACTACCTCGGTTTCACTTTGTTTGGTTTTAATGACAACTTCAGTGGACACCCCCTCCCCCTGCCCCCTTCATTTACATAACACTTTGCAGCTGGTGTTTCTTTTTTATTCGATTCATTACAAGAATTGTTTTTGTTATTATCTCGTTGACACAAAACACCACAGATACAAATGCAAATATTACAATATATATTAGGAATAGTAATTAATTATGTAGAAAATAACGATCAAGTAGATTGCAAATTGTATACACAGAAACTGAAATCATGTAATAAATTAACTACACTACGTTTTCTCTCACATTTCTTTTACTGTACTCTTGACCTAACTGTTGGTACATTAGCTAGTGCTTTTTTGCCGCCTTTTAGAAGGGATTTATACTCTTTTTGATACAAATTTATTTCAATCAACAAAGAGACGTTGTTTGTGTCGGTGCTGTGACGTTGCTGTCTTTTCACTTTATCCATTATTGCCTTTGAACTTGGGATGAGCAGCAAACCTGTTTCATTGTGTCCATGACGGCTTTTCGCACTTCCCTCATCTTCCAGCAGTATAGTAATGGGTTTAGAGTTGAGTTAAACAAAAGCAGAGTTACCGTTACAGCCCAAGAAAAGTTAAGAGATAGTGTCTGCGATCCAGTGTTAACAAATGCACCCACTGATATGGCATATGGAAGATAACAAGCCAGTAGTGTAACTTGTACTAACAATGCAGTAGACACAGTCTTTCTGTAACGTGCTATATTCAGGGTAACTCCTTCTCCACTTGGTTGCCCTTGCTGAACATGGCCCTGCACATGAGTTTGATGATGGCGAAGTGTAAGATAAATTTTCGTGTAACACAAGGTTGAGGTTACTATGCACGTTAACAACACTATGCAGACAAATATTACAGCAATACGAAAGCTGTAAATTACTGTCAGTGCAATAGCAGTGCTAGAAAACCAAAAAGCAGCGACAAGAAGCCACACCCTTCTCAAAGTTACTGCCTGTCTGTACCTTAGCCTCAACAGCAGGGCCAGAAGTCTGTCTACACTTATTGCAGTCAGAGTGAGCAAAGATACTCCACAAAAGATTGAACCTATGGTATTAAATAAGATTCTTAAATAGTGGCAATGTTTGGAGTATTCCGAAGACATTCTGTAGGCAATGTAGAGAGGCTGTGTAATAAGACCCACACAGAGATCTGTGCTGGCGAGGCAAGCGAGGAGAAGTTTTGATGGCGGATGGATGGACGTCACCCTTTGAAGAGCAACAATTATGAGAACATTCCCCAGAATTGCAGAGATGGAGAGGGGAATATTAAAAGTTAAAATAAATACCCTTTGATGCATTCTGTGAAGAGTTATTGGGCAGAACAATTCTTGAGTGGTCGTGTTGTTTCCATCTTTTGGTGAGTTCGCCATTTCTCGCCAGCTAGTTACTATGACAAGAGTTACTAATCGCTTGCTTTGTTATCAGTTTCCGTCTTCAGAAGGTTTCAGCATTTTTCTATTGCTTCATTGAGCAAGTCTTTATCCTGGTCCAGTAGTCGTTTTCCTGGTGATTGGAACAGTTTTTTAGTTCATAGAATTACAGACATGAAAACTAACGAAAGACTGTTCAGAGTTTTCCAAACAAGGGAAGACTGGCTTTTACACTCAGAATCGTTATTTATATTTTTTATTTTTAATGTTGTCATTTTATCTTTCGCCGGGAGAAGATCGCGAACATACGGTCCCGTTCGCTATTTACCATCTTTTACTGTTCATTTGCTCAAACTCACGGGAGTGATTATTTCATTCAAAATTCTTGCTAAAAAAAAGTTTAAGTACTGTAATGAGTTTGGTAAAGCGCGTTTCGATTCGAGCCAAGACAGTAGTTTGTTTATATTGGCTGCAAATCATAATCTCTGGCGGATGTGAAATTATTTTTATCGATATTGGCACGAAATTGCCATTTCAAGAAAACTTTTGCTCTTTCATCGAGTACATTCGAAAGTACATGCTAAAATAGTTTTAATGTCCGTCAAGTTTGGAAATAACTTTACACTGTTTTACCACTGCCGAGCGAAGACATATCAGATCGACGTTTTAATTTATCTTTCGAGAAGGAAAACAGGTCCCTCATTGAATTCCGCTATTTTACTGTTAATTGAATTTCCCATTCACAGTAAATGGTTTGAACCCAGGAGTATCAGTAGTTCGTATAGTGTGATCGTCCGGGTGAGTGTAGTTCTGAAAAGAACTGTTGTTGGTGACAACAACAGTTCTTTTCAGAACTACACTCACCCGGACGATCACACTATACGAACTACTGAATTTCCCATTGTTTTATATAAATTCAAACTTAAATGCTTGCAATTGCTTGTCGCTATTCAGATTCTCGCAAGTGTCTGACAAAGCTAAATTTTAATCCGGCCGTGTTATTTTCATTTCAGGTCTCGCTCCTCAGACATTCGCCGCGATTTTAGCATGAAAGTAAAGCTGCGATATTAATGACACATTATTAACGAAGCCAAAGCTGAATGTGTTCTGCTTTTTTAGACTTCCGAAACACCGTACAAACTCAGTACCAGCCTGCATGTGAAGTTTTCCCGGCCATATAGGACAGTCGATAAGAAGATGAATCATTAACAAGGCTTCTTTAAAATACATTTTAAAAAAGTACCTGAAAGATGGACCCTGTAACGGTCTTGTATAAGTGGTATACAGTCGTTTAGTCGATGGTGTTATGAAGATATTCTTTAAACAGTTTGTGCGATTTTCAGTGAAAAAATCACTCGCATTGATACTACGCGAATCAATTCGGAGAATCTTCAAGACCAGACGTAGACTGAATGTCGGTCAACAAATGATCTCCATTCTTCGTTTTGATCAAAATGACAAATAGCTCTGTAAAGAGACTTAACGGGTGCATGGCACTAAAGTGACAAAATGACTGCTGGTTCCAAAGACCGCCAGCTGCGCTTTTGTACTTCAGTCGTTCAGCCAATGGCAGAAATTCAAAAGGGCCCAAAAGTAAATATATCGTGAGCTTGATTTGAATTTACTGACGTTTTTCTGTCAGAAATCAAATTATANTCGCTTTTAACGAAACCATAGAAGAGTATACTTCACCATGCATAAAGCTAACAAATAGAAGAATCAGATGAATTAATTATTTTAAAGATGTGTTCTATTGCACGCAAGCCTTCAAACGCAGTACTGACAACGTTTCCTCAACTGAATTACCTGCCTTCTTCTTCGAACATACGACCAAACAAACTGCATCTTGTCAACCAGCAGATGACGGACTGCAAAAGTGCGTGAGGCTTTTTCGCTATTCCTGTTGGTTACTGATAAAATTTATATTGGGAGCTAGACGAATATTTGAATATCGTTGTCGCATGAGAAGGCCTAAGAGAGGAAGTTTTTGATTTATTAAAAAAGCCTCAAAGTTTGGCGCATTGATAATCGAGAGACATTTTGGCCAAGTTTCACTGATAAAAATCTATCAGTTTCACGTTCCAGGGAAACCGCAGAAAACTAAATCTCGAGTGTTTTGCAAGGTTATCGTACCTCATAACGTGGTTGTCAACTCTATCATGCCGACGACGAATGAAAAACAAGCTTGGAACTCCCAAAGGTAGTCCAAATGAAAACAACCCACTGAAATTTGCGGGGAAATATTGATATGCGATAACGGGAAAATTACGATCCGACAGAAAGGCTTCTGGCACGGGAAAATCGAAAAGAAACAAGGCGGTCTAGTGTATAGAGCAAGAGAAAAAAGTAGGGGAAGCCGAGTGCGGAACTAGCAATTAAAATCGATCAAAACGTGTTTACTAATATAAACTCACCAGGTTGAGCTTTTGCTGTAGTACTGAAAACGTACTTAAAACCTTTTTGGAAGCTGGTTTAACCATAGTACAACACTGTGCTGGGGCATGTTGGCCATAGTTTTTTACCGCAGATTAAAACAATAGCCAAGTATCGCTTCACAATTGGCCGTTCCCATTTGTTTTCACAACAGTTCTAGTTGCGGGTAATTTTATCTCTTAG